AAAAAAGAAATATGTACAAAAAGCAGATTAATATGAATAAAACTGACAAATATGAAAATATTATGAACTCAAGCACAAAAAACACATTTAGAAATTTTTTTATCTGAAGTTAATATCAAAACAATTTAATTTGTCCCAAAGAATTTTATTTATTCATTTTTTTTTGAAAATGTTATGTTTACAAACCATGTTTGCTTTCAACAATTATAATGATAGTAATAGAAAAAAAAAAGTAAAAATTATCTCTATTCACATGATGATGTGGCGGAAAATAAAAAAAGCAAACGAGTTTGCAAAGAAATCGTAAGAAATCCAAACCGATGAAATAATCAAAGCTCTGTTTTGGAAAGATGAGCCCAAATCACAAACTAGAACAGCAGTGAGGCATACCGACACTAAAGTAAGACAATGTTATAGAAAACATAAATGGATTAAGGTGAACGTCCTCTGAGGGAAGTGCATGAGAAAGGAAGTGATCTTCTCAGGATAAAGGCATCTATGTGGTGTCTGTAGAGTCCCGAGAGTTTAGGACGTTATTTAAAAGTATGTCTTTATCATCAACATCAACAGATTTAGAGTTGGTAGTTTAGTTCCTGGGGTCTGTGGATTGCAGACCTGAAATGACTCAGTACTGTAAATCTATGAGACTATAAACTCTTTCAACTGAAGACATGTTTCTAAGACCTGACTGTTTCCTCTAGGCATGATGGCGTCTGGAGTCCCTGAGACAATTAGTGACTTATATTGCTCTCCTGAATGGCCCAAGGAGCTGGATGAGACCATGAGATATGTGAACATCCTGACTGAGCTGAACCAAAACATGAAAGGTGAGAAAAGATCGGATTGATTGATTATTTGTGTCGGCTTGTTTTGGTTGTAGATGGAGAATCTATAGTTGATAATGAACAGGAAAAAATGCTTCCATTAATGTTTTTTCAGGACCAGTACTGGCTTTTATTTAGCCCTGCTCAGGATAAGCTCCTATCAGAGATGAGTAGGGCAGCAACACACAGTTTAACAGTAAAAAATGGTGGAGCTAAAGGGTGGCCAATAGCTGCAATGTCCTCTCCTAGATAATCTTCAGCCACTCCTCTGACATTAAGCAGTTCTCTTCTAATCCAGAATGTGGCAACAGTGATACAAACAAGTGGAGCATCGTAACTAATACCCCTTTCCCACTGGCTGAAAAACCTGTTTGACCCGGATCGACACGGTCAGTGAGGCGTTCCCACTGCCACTAAAAGCCGATTGTTCCCGGGTTTAAACGACTCGGCATTCAACCCGCGTTAAAATCACCTCAGCTCTGATCAGCATGCTGAGGGAAAACCAGACCCGGGTCGACCCGCTAATTTATATGATGCCACTGAGTGCAACATATGGACATATGCTGCTCTCCATTGTTTACTTTCCTGATTTCTGTCACACTGGTGACGCCATCAACGCTAACCGAGCATTATGGTGTCAACAGAGGAGGTGTGTTATTAGATCCAGCTTTATTTGCCGATGGGAAGGGAGAAAAATGATTGTTAGGTCAACCCGTGTTTGAAAAACCCGCGTTAGCCGGTATTTCCAGTGGGAAAGAAGCTTAAAGTCGTATGGAAGCGGCTGTTCCAACTGTTCCTCAGAATTCTCCGAAGTGGTGCCCGACTTTACAGGAATGAATAAAGTGAATCTGATTGGTCGATTATCAAAGGGGCGGGATTGTTGTGGTGGAAAGTTCGCAAGCATTTGGTTGTGGCCTGTTTGTCGGAAGCATCTTGCTAACCAGTTAGCAGCTAGTAGGTTCCCAATGGGTCTTCCCTACAACTTTATTTAACATTTTAGTTAATATATTCACCATAAGCAGACAATAAAAAATACACTAAGGAATTATTCACATCAATATACTCAAATCAAAGAAAAGCACAGAATTCCTGCTTCTATTTAGAGCTAGTTTTTGTGTTTTAATGCTACAGTTATCTAGAGGTCTTCTGTGTAAGATAAAGAATAACTTCTTAACCTTAAATGTGGATAGTTTGCAAAGCAATAGATTAATTAGTAATTTCTACATATGTTTATGAGCAAAAGCTTCATTAAAACCTAGTTTCTCCTTTATTTGGAAAACACAGATGTTGTTCTCATTCTTTTTTTTCCATTAGAACAAAGTAATTTTTGTATATTTTATCCTGATCTGATTCCAGCACCTATTGGTTTTTAGCCAAAAACCAGCCGGAGCCATGAATTAGTTTGAAGATCTGTTGTGTTTGAAATGTTTTCCCCTAGTCGCTGTCTGTCAGAACAACCAGACCATGAAGGAGTGTTTAAAGAACTTGTCTGCCTGGAAGGAAAAACAAAAACAGGAGCAGCAGGTCCTGAAGAACCAACTCAGGGAAACCCAGCTCTCCCTGGAAACATCAACCCTCCAGAATGAGGAGCTGCAGCATCGGCTGACCACTGCGGAGGAAGCGCTGGCTGACAAACAGAAGAAGATTGATGAGATCAAGCAAGAGCTTTTCAAAAAAGAGAAGGAGCTAGAAACTATTGCTGTCTTAAAGGTCCAGGTTGGTGCACATGTTCATAAACCCTAAATCAAGCAGGTGTCATGGGTCAGTACTCTGACCTCAATATCTAATCGCTGCTGTTATATGGCAATAAAAATAAACCTCAGCAAGAGGTGGCTTCTCTTTGCAACGGCAGATGAAACGAATGAATGACAGTCTTTGTTAACTACGGGTTGATTGTTCAACATCTAGATTCAGTTTTTTTTTTAAATGTCTCATTCTGTGATGTCTGCAGGCTGATGCCTTCTCCGCAGACTTCTACGCAGAGCGGGAAGCAAAGGAGAGGCTCCATGAGGAGAAGGAGTGTGTAGCTGCTCAGCTGGAGGAGCTTCAGAAGCGGAACATGCAGCTGCAGCAGCAGATAAAGAAATTGACCTGGTATGCCGTCTCTTCACTCGCATTCAGCTCAGCTGACCAATAAATTGTGTTTTGTTTATGTTTATGCATTTAGCAGACGCTTTTATCCAGAATGACTTACAAAGTAGACACAGTTTTACTGTTATCGTCGATATCACAGTACATTCTCTAGAGGAAAACCCCTAATCAGAATCAGTGGTGACAGCAAAGAGGGATACAAAGTGGCGGTTTTAGACCAAATGTACCAGGAGGCCATGGGGGGCCAGCGTGTCTTCATTGGGGCACAGAAAAGCATGAAACAAAAACAAATAAAGAGCTGCATGAATTAAAATTTCCATTTAATTGGGTTTAATTAATATTATGTCTTGCAACTGAAAATATTTATTTTTGGCTTTATAATGTTCATTTGGATTAGCGTTAAAATAAAAATAAAAATCCTTTAGCTATATATGTATCTAAAAAAAACAAATAAAGCAAATATTTTGAATGTTAGGTCAGTATAGACTCTTAATTTTACTTTTATATATTTTAACTTAATTTAAGTTAGAATTATAGATTTTTATAAAATTAGAATTAGAACAAAAAAACTCTTATAAATTCATTGTTGTTTTGTTTGATCTTTCTTGGATCTTTCTTATGTTTAGTAGTGTGAAGCGACAAGATAGAGAGACAGAGGTAACAGGACCTTTAAAGGTCAGCTGGTCGTCAATCATGACACCCAAAGCTCTTGCTGATTTTCATGGAGTCTGAGACGAGGATGATGTCTGGATGTGAATATTGTGGTGTTCGGCTGGTTTGGCTGGAAAAACAAACAGTACAGTTTTTGAGAGATTCAGTTGGAGGTGATGGTCTTTCATCCATTAAGATATGTCAGGGAGACATGGGGTGGAAATGACAGATAGAGCTGGGTGTCATCAGCATAGCAGTGGAATGAGAAACCATGTGATTAAATAATGTGGCCCAGCATGGTGGTGTATGTGGCAAAGAGAAAGAGCTCCCAGTACTGAACCTTGAGGAACCCCTGTGGTGAGATGGTGCACTGCAGAAGTTTGACCAAGCCAGGATACTTTGAATGATTGACCAGTTTTGTCTCCATTTGTGGTTATTTTATTAGACAAACATTATCGGAGGAGATTGTGGGTCCTTGGGTTTAGATGATGTAGTAGCCTGATGTCAAGCCTGATCCTGTCGCATTGACCTCTAGGTGTTCATTGAATGAAATGCAGCACAGACATGGATCTGCTGGAGCGAGCCCACATGGACCTGATCCAAGTCTGGTAGAAAGAGGTAAGCTGATAAATGATTAGTTTCCCTCTAGCTCATGTAGAGCTACACAACATAGATGGATGGTTAATCAAGAACACTCTCCCTTTAATAATAAGTGGATTTAACTAGGTCTGTCATCCTCAGGTGCAGGCTGGAGCCAGGAGAACATTCCTGAACACGCCTGCCCCAAGTGTAATGAGATCCTCCCAGACCTGGACTCCCTCCAGATCCACACCATGGACTGCATCAACTAGACCCCTGGCTCTCTGTCTGTTCTCGATTCTAGGGAGATTTCACAGGCTTGGATGTGAAATAAATAAAATTACAAAAAAAAATTGTTTGATCTTTTAATACTATCATTGAATCGTCTACAGTCCACGATTACTCTGTGAAAGTCCTATAAAACTTAAATCTCCCTAAAGAGTTTATTGCATTGAACTAGTTGTATCTGTTAAGTCCAAATAAACAACTTCTAAACGTCCGACTCGGGGCTCAATCCCAGTAAGTCCCCTACTTTCAGCCACTAGCCCTTAATCTCACACCCTGGGATTGAATCTACAATGGTCAGCGCTTCTTAATCTTCCCTTGGAGTTGGGACACCCCTCGCTGCATTGTTTATGTTCTGGTACTCTGCATTTCCTGTCAGATATGCACATACATAAGATATGGGCCACCATAAGAGAGGAGACGAAGCATCTTAAAAAAAAAACATTGAACCTGAACCTGTAAAAAGGCGATTAAGTTGAGCTTTTTTAAATATATCCTTTCCATTATCAGGTATGATTAGTCTTTAAAAGTGATTATCAAACCCAGCTGAAAATTTCTAGTGTGAGCTAAATCTGCTAGTTATAAAACCACCGGATGAATTTACAGAGGCCGTTTTGTTTAAATCAAAATTGAAGATGGAGAAAAATTATATTGACAAAGGATGAAGTGGGGAATGCTATCAAGAGTTTTTAAGGTGTCTTTTAACAAAGCCATTTTAATTTAGCCCAAGGGGGACTGTTACCTCTAGCACACACTGCTGACCGCTGTGGGGCTCTCTTGCCAGCAGGAGGCGCTGAGCCTCGGCTGTACTCCTTACATCTCCAGGGGTCACCAACCCCCAGGGCTGAGGGTTACTTCATGGGTACCGAGTCACAGGAAGGGGACCAGTAATGACCATGAACTGGAGGAGTCAGTGTTCCCGGCCTACTTTGTACATTACATTTTTAAAGTCGTAGGGAAATCATATTTAAATGTCAAATCATTCTGGCTTAAACATGTATATAAATGTTCTCTTTAACAGACAATATTGTCTGAAAATTTTGAAAATGTCTATTTGAAAAAAAAAATCCCGAATTAAAGTCTGTTTTTTTTCCCCGTTATCTTATGCAGACCAGTTAGTTATACGTCAGCCTGAACACCTAAACTCAGCCAATCATATATCAACGGTCATCTGTCAATCAAGTTTTTTCAATCATAGCATCTTGATTCATATGTCGCAGCTAATATACGCAACTGTTAAAATAAGAACTTAGAATAATTTCCTTTCCCATTGAGTTCCGTCCCAGTGTTCACTGGGATGGACGTCTGTGTCTTCAGCAGGCGTAGAGCTAACAGAACTGGCAGCGTTGCGAGGCAAGGGCTCAAACATGTACGGCTGTAAGCCTTCTACACCAAACCAACCTTCTGCCTTCCTGGCATCCTCTTCCACAACATCTTCATCCCCGCTTTCCTCCTCTAAATAAAAAATGTATGACGGAGGAGACTCATCCACGACCTCTGACACAAAACTCTCCTCTTTCATGTTTCCTCTGTCCATAGCGTTCCTTGAGAGTGTCGTTTCTAAGTCACCAATTTAGTGCTACTTGGTCCCAATGCGATGCTTCTGAGAAACAGCCCACAAACTTTCTTGTGAACCTTCCACCATAACAATCCCGACCTTTGATAAACGACCAATCACATTCACTTTATTCACTCGTGTAAAGTTGTGCACCCCTCGGGAGAATTTGGAAATGCAACGGTTGGAACAGCCGCTTCCCTACGACTTTAATAACCTTTTCATTTCTAATTTCCTTTTGGATATTGTCATTTTGAAATCTCTATAAATGTGTGATTAATAAAGAAGAGCAACACAATAAAATAGAATTTTAGCTCACTGGTGAGTTGAGCTATTTTTTAAGAATATGCTGAGCGCCCCCCATGTAAATGGTCTGTATTTATATAGCGCTTTTCAATCT